ACGTCTCTTTTAAGTTAGAGTCGGAGTAAATCCATTGTGTCAGTGAGTGAGTGGAGAAAGGCTTGTGAGTGTGAGTACCTTAGTGATGTCTGGCTCAGATTTGCTGGAGCACATCGTCTGCAGTTCTCTGATCAAATCGGTCTCATCATCAGAGAAAACAGACAGACCTTCGGGCTGTCTAAAAAAGTATAACAATTTAAAAAATGAATAATAGTAATAATAATTTTTACAAAATATATATGCAAAGGCACCTAACGTACTGTAACAACTACTTAATTAAGCTATTTAATAAAAATGTGTTTGCAGGTTCTGTCTGTCCACATATTAATATAAGGTACTGATGCTAATGCTATTACCACTGCTGCACATTTATATTAATGAGACACAGAACCAACCTCTGGACTTTGCCATTGGAGATCAAGCTGACATCAGAGCTCGAGAGAGAACCTGAAATTATAGGTTAATGTACAGCTTTATTCATACGACATGAAAAACGACAGTTCACTTAAATGGCAACAGGAACAGAGCCAAAAGCCTGGGTTTTATTAAAAAGGCTTATCTATAGAAACACGGAAGGTGAGCTGATGAGTACACAAACTGTGCACGTGGACACAAACAGACCTACCAATAGTTTTAATTAGAAACAACTTGCTTTCAAATATAAAAGATGGGGATTTGTGGTTTCTTCTGAGTAAAAAGGAGAAAAGAAGAGGCAGGCAGCAAATGTTAGGGCTGGTAAACAGTGCCACCTTGTGGAGATTGAAGACATGTGTCCTTAATCCGGGCTTTCAAATGTCTAAATCTAACGCTTTACGCATTGTATTTTAACAAGCTCTTTATATGTGACTGAAGAAATGCTTTATCTGAGGTATCTGAGGACTTTCATTGCTCTGTTACATCCAGAACGTCACAGTGTAATGATTTTACATTTAAAAGACAAAATAATTAAAGCTGTCTGAATGTGAAGAAATAACCACTATGACACAATGTCGAAAACATCTATGTGTTGTGGTGAAGAGATATCGTCTGCACTTGGGTTGGGCCGCACGTTCGTGTAATACCAGTTTGTACCATAAGATGGTACCAGCGAACCAATGCAACTTTTATTTAATCAGGAAAATCATCGAAAAAAGCATTTACAGCTGCAACCTGGACAAAAGCAAAGGTGAACGATGGCAGTAGATAACAAAGTTAAAAACAACTGCATGCATCTACAATCAGGTGCCGGGTGGTGCCACCAGTTACTTTACTGTTATGGACCAGTTTTAGTTAACACTTACAGAATACAATCACGCCTTGATACCTTTAAATTATTCAAGTAAACCTGCCCCTCCAAAATGACAGATTTTTAAAAGAATATTCCCACAAGTACAAATACATTGTTCATTGTGATCCAATGCAGAGCAGCATTCTTACCCTCTCTGAAGGAACTGCTGCTCCAATTCAAGGCGGGGCTTCCCTTCTTCCGAGGGCTGGTGTTGGATCGTCTCAACTTGCCACTGTCCCGTCCCCTTCTACCTCCTCCGCCGCACATGCTTCCTTTATAGGGGCCAACAGCTGACAGAGGGAACGTGCCACCCTGAAACTCTAGCAGGTATCTGTCGATTTCTGAGGAATAAGGGAAACACTGTCGATCAGTGCATTTTTAATCTCATGTCATGTCTTTTTCCCTGCTCACTTATTTCCTTTGGGAACTTGAGTGAATCAACAGCCAAACATCACATGTGACGCACACGCACCGTGTCGAGGCAGGGGGCATCCCAGGAGTACAGCCTTGTTGACCAGGATGCTGAGAGCGGCTTTCACCACAGCCTGTTGTCCAGCACTCAGCCCACAGTTGCTAAGACACGGTTGTTGTGATGAGGGGGCTGGAGAGTGAGAGGTGGAAGAGGAGGAGCGCTTGGCTGTTACCCGGGAGATGATGGCTTCTTCTACACGGGGGACGACCACAGCATTCCAGAGACGTGCCAGCCACCTGCACATATGTGCACACACGCAAACATGTAAGCTTCCAAGCACGCACACACTTCATACTTCTTCCCTTAAGTCGTTTCCTGATCTTTTTCCTCTGGCCGCAGATTATCTGGTCAACACTGAGGTCGTTTCAGTTCAGTTTAGAATGTTCATTTATCATAAATGAAGGTAGAAAGATAAACACTTTATATGGAAACAATCATAAATCATTAATGTGTAGAGCAAGCAGCACTTTTTAAAATGTAACCAAATCAACTAAAAGCTCATTTACAACAGATCTACTAAGTAATTCCGTCACTTATGTACAAATATTCACTGATTTTGTGTTTTTCATCACAGCAAATTAAACTACTCTCACCAAGAGGGGGACTGTGCCTCTGTACAGGTCAAACAATCAACAGTGCAGGGCTTCAGCTTTAATTCAAATCGCATAACTCCTTCACTTCACAAATGAGCACTGGAAACAAACTATAATTTTTTTCTAGATAGAGACATGTTCACACACCTTACAATGGCCTGCGCGTTGTTTGGGACCACAGGGCAGGACAGGAAGAGCTGCGGGCCCAGCAAAGCCTCATGGGTCCCCAGACGGGACAGGCAGGCATTGAGCTGCTGCCAAACCTGGCTCACCCACAACACCAACCGCTCCATGACGCCATCAGGAGACCAAAGTCCAGTCCCCATCTGGGGGAAAGAAGCAGGGCAACAGAACTGAATATGTTCTGCTCTTATGATAAAACACTGTGTGGCTAAAGTGAAATATCAAAAGGACATATGGGAAGGAATATCACAGACTGGGTTTCCTGTGAACAGTTCTACTATGTTTTTGATCACGTCTCCCTGTGCTCCCCTTAATGATCCATTTCCTAACATTTGAGCTTGTTTGGGATTACAGGTGGAAAAAAACAACAACAACACAATTTTGGTTGTGATTAAAACAAAACCGATCTGGCCATCCACCAAAATGATGCAGTCTCTCTGGCAGCTGCAGCTAAACCTCTGTCTGACCTTGTGAAGCAGCTTTTTGCGGAGGTGCCTTCCCAGCAGGCTGTGCAGTGGCTCCTGATCCCAACGAAAAGTGACCCAGCGGAAATGCTGCTGGAGACGAAGCTCTGCTCCCTGCAGGCGGGGCTTCGATAATGTTGCAATCAGAAAGTTCCCCTCTCGGAAGTGGTGGGGACCTGAGGGAAGGAAGGACAAGACAAAAAAGCTGATTTATTTGGCATCATCTTCCTAGTCAGTCTCTTATATTGTTGTTATTATCTGACTGTTGGTTTTGTGGTCGAGCACAGGGAGCGCGTTCGCTGTCCACTCCACTCTAGGGCCTGCCTGTCTGCCTGCAGTGAGCTATGTTGTCAGATGGAGGCGGTGTACAAAGTATGTCCTACAACCAGTCTGTGGTCCGTGAGTCAGCCTCAGAGTGAAGTTCGAACATACAAAGAGCTGAAGTGTTAAAAACAATGAAAAGTGTCCACTGCAGTCACTGTCTGTGCTTTTCATGCTTTATTTTATGATCTTTTACGCTTTTTTGCCGTTCTCCCTTTCTCTGTGAACTCCACTATCACTACCTGGTCTATTCTGGCCCACATACCTACCAATCAAAGTTAGGCAGTTCCATATGTCATCCACTTCCAGTGGCATGCAGTCAGGATCTTGAAAGAGTGCACGGCTGCGTGTCTCGCGTGGTGAAAACCCCTTGTCCCCCTCTGTCTGAAAAGCTGTGTACAGACGGACACACTTGCAGGACTATAAACCCCACTTAAGACTTCCTGTTTACCGAAGAGCACAGACTCTTGTACAAAACAAATTAAAATTACAGCTGCAAGCTGCAATGACAGGGCTCTGATCGAAACTTTCCATGGCACCTTGGACATGCCCTTCAACGAGAACTCATAAGCTTTGTAATTTAGCTTGGCCAACGTCAGCAGTTGAGACTGACCAAATGTGAAGTTGATCCCATATAAACTCATACACCCCCCCACCCCCAAAATCAGTCAACTTACTGCTGGGCTTAGCGCAGAGATTCAAGAGGATTTTTGTGCCTCTTGGTACCAAATTTCAAACAGCAGTGGGACTAAACGTTTGACATAAAAGTTTCCTCCACCTATGTATGAGACACCAGACCTTATGTGTGTGTGCTTTACTACACTGTCTGTATCTGTGCTACAGGCGCTGTCTGCAGCCATACCAGTGTTCAGGACCAGTGATGAAGCAGCGCTCCTGCTGTCCAGACTGTGGCAGAGGTCTCCAAGCAGGCCTGTTAGGGATGCAGCTTTCTCCAGTCCCTCCAGCAGGACTATCACACAGTGATCAGTATGTTGAGCTGGTAGGCTGACCCCTGACCCCACAGCTGGCACCAGGAAACCTGGAAGAAGAGGAGGAAGGAAAATAAACAGCAATACAACATAAAGCACCATCAATACAAAGACAGGGGAAACTGCACGATCCTAAATGTTGTCACTGCTTTAAATCGCTGTGAGTTGATCTGAGGCACTTTGAGAGTGGAAGAATGAGTGATTTCCTCCCACCCGACCCTTCCAGAATCAACCATAAAGAGACAGAAAAAAAATTCTTTTGTGCAATAAATGTAGCTGATTAAATTAAACCATGACTTTTAAATATGAAGCTTTCCATCGGTGTGTCTGCTCGTGTGTTTTCCTACCACAGCTGATGAAAGTCTCAAGCAGATGCTCTTTGGTCAGGCTCTCTTCCACCTCCACCCTCACCACGTCACAGCTGAGCCCCCCTGCCTTCTGCTTCGACTGATAGAGATACAAAGAAGAGGTGGGGTGGGGGGAGATGAGTGAAGAAGCACAAAGAGGTAAGAAGGGAGCCCGTTGTCATGGAAACAAAGGAAATGTACGGTTACTATGTGCCGAGTGAAATGGAGCAGGAGGAAATTCTGAATGAGAAAAAAGGGCTTTTCCACATCAGAGCTGTCAAAGATATTCCTCTGTCCTTCATTTGCTTTTTAAATATCGTGGCATTTCATTGTGATACACAGCTTTATTAAAAAAAGAAATCAATAAGTAAATGAATAAAAAGGAATAATTATTACTAAAGCAAGGAAATCATCAAAACAGGCACCACAAATACAGAAGAATGACCATTGCCACATGACTGATTAGACACAAGACACTGTGCAGGGCTTTCATATACATGATTCCCTGTGTTTATGTAGGTAATGGTTAATACCGCTCTTATGAGTGAGAATTTCACTTTCTAGTTTAACAGTGGGACAGTTCGGCTTCTGTTCTTAATTCACAATTCTTCAACCTAACCTTATTTTTTCATGTAGCCACATCTTCTTTTGTGTGCACGTGGAAAAATACAGTTTCTGATGCCATTACCAGACTAATGTGTCAATGTGAAAGCAGCAGTGATTCAAACAGTTTTTGCCCATGTGCTGGCCAAATATTTAAGAATTTAAAAAAAAGCATCACTGATGATGAATTTGAGTTCCACTGTGTGAGTTCCCTCTATCCCTATTAAATCTGTGGCCTGTGGGAAGCACCAGTGGCTAGCCTTTGGTGTGTTTCATCATGTTGTAATGAGACATTGCATTACTGTTTGCCAGCAATTTCGGTTTCATTGCATCAGCCTGTGCAACAGAGCCAAATGCAACTTTGTTTAAAGATGTAAAGTAGAAGATTTTCCTCAGACTTAACTGTCAGCACTCCCTGACATGGAAGAAACTCACAATTACACCTCAGCTATGAATGAATTTGCTTTCATGAAACTTTACTTCAAAGTAAGACCATGTTCTCTCACACATTCAGCTGTTCAACACTACACCTCCCTTCACATGACTGGCTGAACACACACAGTGGTCAGGTTTTAAGTAGGGGTTGTAGCACTTCTTTGAGAGCGCAGCGCTCCGAAACAGCGTTTAAGCCGTGGTACCTTGATGTAGTGAGCAACCAGACCGGCGATGTACTCCTGACAGCTGCCCTGAAGCCCATGAAAGATGAGGTTACCATATTGCTCCACCTAAACACAGACACAGAAACAGGCAAAGACTGAGCTGACAAGAAGAGAGAATAATGTGGTAGCATGACAGTCTGTCTACATTTAATCCTGTTGTTTAATAACAATTCCAATAGGATTGAGATCTGGTGACTGTGGAGGCCATTTGAATACAGTCAACTCACTGTCACATTCAAGACACCAGTTTGAGTGACTAATATATTGTCCTGCTGGCAGATGGGTACACTGTGGTCATAAAGGGATAGATATGGTCAGCGACAATACTCAGGTAGGCTGTGGAGACACACCCCACACCATTACACCACAACCAGCAGCCTTTTCTATCCAAAAAGCTGCTGGACGAATCTAAGCATTCAAATTCTTTTGCTTGTATACGGGGTTCTGCCATGGATTCTTTTATCTACACATGCTATTATCTCCTCCCCTTTTTAAAACAAACATCTGTGATGACAAAATGCCTGCTTTTGATGCAGCCAGCAGGGGGCAGCATAGCTGCTAGAAAGTCACACCCTCCATTTCCTTTCATCTGTCCATCACCCACTCCTCTTTCTTTGCCATCTCTCTCACTAATGGTGTATCACTTCCTCTGTATTTTTCCAGCATCTTACTCACCAAATCCCCCCAATCCCTCACACTCCTTTGTGTGTATTTGCATAAATGTGTGCAATGTGCGCGCTTACCAGGCGGACATAGTTGTGCAGCAGTGGCAGGGGGAAGAGGGATTCCAGAGCCAATTCATCGAGGCATGACTCAGACAGACCTGTCAAAAAAAAAAAAACACAGACGCACAAATAAATCCTCAAATCCAATCTGCTTTACATGCGAGGCTCCTCTATGCGAGCCGAACCTCAAGGTGCCCTTGGAATAAGAATGTCCTAAAAACTAAAAACAGCATGTTTAATAGCCACATTATTTATTTCCTCAGTGCTTTTAGCTACAGGCCTGCAATACAGTAAATGTAAACACTGCTGTCAGTAAATCAGAGCAGAGTGAGGGTATAGTCTACGTGGATATTTACTAATAGCTCTTAATGCTTTCTGCCAGTGAGCGGGATGAATTACAGTTGTGAGAGGTTTAAATCCACACGCTGAGGAATCTCAGTCACTCATCCTTCCTCAAAGATTTTCACCTAAACCACAGTTTTTAGATGAACTGGAATAATTCTCGACACAATCTCTGAAAGCTTTGTCACTATATTTAACATATCTAAACATTAGTTGAATCTAAATCTTTACGATCTTTCATATAAAATACAGAAGATCATTTGCTTCAAAAGCAAACTGTGGATGTTGTCTCAGTCTGCCCTTCATAAGGAGTAAACACAGGGGTCAGTGAAGTCAGCTGTCTCTGTTTACAGACTCATTTACACGATAATTTGCAATTGCAGGCAATGAGTCGAAGGCTGTGAGGGCAAAGTAAAAACAGAAACAGAAGCTATTTAAATAAGGCTGTACGTATGCCAGTACTGTGGAGTTGGATCTTTGGGATGATAATGTGAAGGATATTTCAAGACATCAAAACCTGCTTTTAGGTATGTCTGCCAGCATCTCACGTGCATTAAAGTGAAGAATGTACAAAGAGATGTAGACAACGAAACATCAAAGTTAGAGCCGTATCTAATATGGGACCACGTCTGGACTCAATCAGAACCGACAGGTTCAGATTCCATATGATTTGTCCTGCTCCAAAAAGTGAGCTGATTCAGTCTCGTCCTGTCCCGGATTCCCAAAAACCATGAAATATGAAAGGACCGACACATTTCTGCTGTTAATCTGAAAAAAAGAAAACGAGTCTGGGGGGCTCGGTATGCTTTGTGGTAGAGGCTGTTTTCCAAATTTCCTCTGATAGTTAAAATTTGTATATTTTTTTCAGGATTTGGGGCTTTTTGAAGCTTCGAGAGCATAATTTTCATGATATGTGATATCAAAAGCGTTGCCGTCTGAAATGTGCTGTGTGAAAAAAAAGAAAAAAGAACGTGTAATAAGCCAAAGCTTCAGCCTTCATCTGCTCACTGAGTATTTGCTTTATTTACTTCCATGGGAATTTTGTCATTGATTAAAAAGGTTATTGCAGTCATTTTTTTTTAAAAAGAGGATCAGTGAGCGTGGCTGCAGAAGGAAAGCGATGAAGCACAAACCTTTCAAGTAGCTCAAAGAAAGCAGTTATGATTAAATATGTAAAAGAACACGCACAGAGAGAGATGCATGTTATTTCAGGATCAACCTAAATTGAATTTCCTTAGATCTGATGGTAGATACAGCAGAAAGCCAGAAGGAGAATACAGACCAGACGTTGCTAAAAGCACACAAAAGTGTCAACTAACTGCTTTAGTCACACAGTCTACAGTACACATAGGAATCCTGGATGCAAACTTAAAGAAACAGACCAAAAAAGATTCAGGTGATGATGATCTAAAGATCGCACTGTTCCTTTTCCAGGGTGGAATGTTTTTAAAGATGTTTGCTATACAATCATTCCACCCTGCAAAAACAGCAGCTTAAAGAAATCATTAATACCTGCTAACATAAGCTGAAAGTTGTATTTCACTGTGTAGGGATCGTGACTTAAATGTAGGCCTGAGCACAGAGCTGGTGTTGCATCACTCAAATAGTGAATTTGATTAATTATAATCTTTTATTTATTCAACATTACATTTAAAATGGGTATTGTTTCATGAGACTAATTATTCTGAAAAATGTTCTGGCTAGAGTTTTCCTTCATGTGGTGCGGCTCAGTAGGTAGAGCCTGTTACAACACTGCCTACGCTGCAAATGCATCCAAACAGATTTGTTGGGCCCTTTCATCCACCAAATGGCATTTGTTACCAGTGATGGCAGCTCTGATTCTGGTGTGTGCTCTGAGCTGCTGAATGAGCACCGACTCTGATTGCCAGGTTTTTTCGTGTTGCGTTTTTTTTTTTTTGTTACCTTTGAGGCGGATGGTGATGCACTGGCTGAGAGGTTTCCTGACCAGGTCCCAGGGGGATACAGGCAGCTCCTGACCTGGTAACCACTCAGTATCTCCTGGAAGAAAAAATAAAACCAGACCCATTACAATCACACAATCTGAGCACACAGTTGTTAAACAAACAGTTTACTCATATGGTGACACAAAAGGACTGCATACACAATTATAAGCAGCCTATTGTGTAGTTTATCAGCATGTTATGTAGTTGTCCTTATCTGTTCTGCCTATTTGTGGCATACGTGTATTAGAAGATGGGAATTTTATATACGTGTAATATAACAAGGCCAGAGACGGAAGAAAAGAGTAGAAAGAAGAAAAATGGGCAAAACAGGAGAAACGATGAGAATAAAAGAAAGTGCAAATAAAGCATAACAGGTCACCAACTGGTGCATTGGCAACAGTCAAAAGACAAAGAGCTACTGAAAAAATAACAGATACACAAACAAACATAGGATCTTCTCTGTGTGTGTGGGTGTGACTGTTTGTCACGAAACGTACTTGATAATGAGGGTGGGAAGCCATAACAACACCCCCCAGGAGACCCGGACCGCCCACAGCCCCCCATCAGCACTGAAGAACCAAGGCCACATGTCCTGATGATAACCGCATGCCCTCCCTAGATGGAGCCTCCGCAGCCAAAGGGCAAGAAGGCCAAAAGATCAGAGGCAACGGCCAGCTGATCCACCAGACACGAACCATGAATTTAAGTATTTTAATAAAATACAAATGTTTTTGTGAATGTCATTCATGTAAAAGAAAACAAAATTATAATTACAAAAATCATTTTATTGATTTCAAAATATCTCCGATCGTCCCAGTTTGCGTCACAATAACCTTAAACAAAATGTTCACCACCAGGGGGCAATGTTTTACCAGTGAGTGTGCTGACATTTTTTTCAGGAGTGCTCCTGTTCTTTAAACTTTTTTTAAATTTATTTTTTCATTCCAAGACACTGTGGCTCTTGATTGCGTTCCCTGTTGTCATAACGGGTGGCTGTAGCTCAGGTGGCAGAGCGGATCAGCCACTAACCAGAAGGTCGGTGGGTCGATCCCAGGCTGCTCCAGTCTGCATGCCAAATATCCTTGGGCAAGACCCCATGTTGCTCTCCGATGCATCCATCGGAGTGTGAATGTGTATGAATGTTAGATACTTAGCACTTAAGCTTAGAAGTGCTTGTGTGTGATTGGGTGTATAAAGCGCTTTGAGTGCTCAGACAGAGTAGAAAAGCACTATATAAGAACCAGTCCATTTACCATAAATAAGAATCTATTTTTATGACTATGTTGATTCATTGCCCGATCTTGTGGTTCAAATTGATATTACATGAAAGTATACCCCAGCTATGCTTACTGTGAGCGCTCAAGTCATATAACATGCTTGCAGTATTTTCCTGCAAGCAAGCACTTGCAGAAGAAAACCTTTCAGGAAGAAATCTTCTGACACAGGAAGAAGTCTCCGACCGAACCAGTAACTGCACTGCTTCATACGTATTAACCAATTCTCATAACATCAGGGGAGGAGCAGCTTAATGCAATTGCCCTGAAAGCTGTCCCACTGTCGGCTGAATAAACATTCAGTGAACGTGAACTAAAGAATGTGGAACACGTAAAAAGTTCAATATAAAAACAGTGCGGCACATTTTTTTAAATTATTATTATTAGTAGTAGTAAAGCTGTGGTAGTACAAAAGCACTGCAACTTTTGTAGGATTGTACTACTGTAGTGGCTTTACAATACTATTCTGTAGTCACCAAGTTTGGGGACATTAAAACGCAGCTGTGAGGCTAACATTTCACCTAAAGAGCCAATGACAGATGACTTCGATGAACAGCGTTCAGTAAAACTGCCAGAAGTTGGGGCTAAATTGCCCTGTGCTGACTAGAGTTTGTGCTTTTGTACAAGTCTCCATTTGTACTGCAAACTGAGACTCAGCTACACTTTCACTTCAACCCAGAGACAAACTGTTCAGGAAAAGGGTTGAGAGTTTTCTCACTGACTGGACATCCAACTTCCTTTTTTAAATTTTTTTTTAAAAAAATATTTTCACACTAAAACAGTTTCCACAGCAAAGGCAACAAATGAACGATGTAAGGCATGGGACTAACACTGCTCCCAGACCAGCCTGGCAGTAGCTGATACTAACCTGATTAGTGATGATTATTTGTACATTTTTCAATTAATTAGTAAAAATAGCAATAATCATCAGTACAAACCCCCAAAATATTTAGTTGCAGTAAAAACAGAAATTAGGAAAGCAACACATACATCTGAATCTAAAAGGAACACATATCTGCCATTTTTAGGTGTTCTGAAAATCTCAAAAATGTCACAAAGAAAAACAGATTCACAATTTAAATACTGGGAGCGGTCTTTTTTCTTCTTCTTCTGATTTTAAATTTGAACAAAAATTAAAGCTAAGCGATTAGTATTCAAATATTCAGATACCAATAATTTAGTTTCCCTGTTTGTGTTTGCTATTCATTCTGTTTTTGCCCCAGGCAAACAAAAACAACAGTTAAATGTCATGTTACTGTTAAATCATAAACTGTTAAATAAAAGGTTTTTCATATTATCATCACGCCATCTTTGCTGTGACACAACAGCACCGATACAGGTAAATGTCATTGTATCAGCAAGTCATCAATGCCAACATCCTTACTTGGAGCAGATTTGCGTCTGTCCCTAATTTTTTAATCAGCTATATTAATCGAATTCCCTGCAAATGCAGCAATTTGATCTTGTGCAGAATATTTCTGCAACTCTCAACTTATAACGTCATTAAATTTCACTCATCTAATAAAACAATAAATCACAAAAACTGAGACGTGTAAATAGTTGCAGAAGTCGGCGCTCAACATAAAGGTAGCTGAATTCAATGTAAACACCCTGCTAAAAAGCCCAGCATTGAGCAACAAAAACACAAAGGGAAATGTATGCGATGTGCTGAAACAAATGAGACGTGGATGGAGACTCTCAGATAGAAAGTCAGACACCAAAAAGTGTCTCTGTGTCTTAAGTTTGATCCCGGTTGACACAGAAGACTGGCATTTTCTCCTAAATTGCCGTCTTCCTCCCCTTTCTTCGATCCCTTCCCCCCCAACTTCATGCATTATGCATCCCTCTTCTGCTCATGCTTTCTTTCATCATCAGCCCCAAAACACACACAGAAGCCTAGCAGTCGCTAAGCCTCTTTAGAGACAGTAACAGCACGAGAGACAGTAAATGTGTGACAGAGAGGTGTAACAAGAGACTACAGCAAAGAGACGAGCAGTCCTTTGCTGGCCGAGGACATCGATTTCCTTTTTATCAGTCTGGAATTCAGAGGGACCTTTACTGCAACACACGCACACACAAACGCACACACGTAACTCTAGCCCTGAATAAGCCTCAAGCTCAAGAAAGGACTGGCTTCATAGGGTGACATTTGAGGACCAAAAAGGACACAAACATAGGCGCAGCACATAGACTCTCCACATTTCCCAAAAGATTAAATATTCATTATTTCAAAGAAGAAGAAGAAGAAGAAAATCATGTGAGAAGCTCTAAGCATCAAGCCAAACGAATACAGTCTCACAGCAGATGGCTACAGCTGAACATACAGGAAGCTGATAAAAGATTCTACTGTGGATACATTTATACAGACTACAAGCACTCAGTAGAATGCTTTTACACAAATTGTCCACTTTTTCTTCCGGACTAGTTTGTAGCAATAAAAAACAAGCAGTCTGGGGATGGACATCTCTGCCAAGGCTGAAAGCCTCCACTGCATGCATGAAATTTTGAACCCAGAATGTTTTTTTCTTGAGCACATCAAAACAATGCCACCCAATCCTTCCTTTTTTCAAATTTAATATGCATTTATAAGGATGTGATAAGACATTTCTAATTTTGTTCAAGTGCACAATAGTAAAGAATCCTTCTAAAACCTCTGAGCTCAACCTCCAATAACAATAGCACCCAAAGCCTAACTAACTAGTAAGAAAGTAAGAAACTGAACTAATGACAAAACCTTGGAAATTGTTTTTATTGACATGCTGATGTAGCTGATCTGACTGACTGAATGACTTTAGCTTCAGGTGTAATCAGTAAATATCTCCAAATGAACAACCAGACCAGGACATCCTGTTAGATGTGACAGTCATTGTTTGTTCTCCAGTTGTGCTTTTAAATCTAATTATTTTAGGTGATAGCCAATGGTTTGTTCTCCATATGGACTTTTTACCTGCATGTAGCCAAAGTACACCCACTGATAGCAGTGATACTGCTCGGACTGCAAATTTACTACAATCAGAGCTAAAAAAGACTTCATGCAAGCAAAAGTTTGCAGTTTTAGAAAAATAATGCAATACAGTGGCTAATGACTACTTCATATGACCGTAACGAAGCTTCTATTTGTTTTAGTGTATTAATTCAAGGAGTTTGTTACCTTTACACTGCAAGGACAGCCACTGCCAACATTAATCTGTACTTAAATGAGACAGATGCACAACAAGCTAAACCCTATCGCACTCTTTATCCCATTTAAGGGCATGCAGCCTCTGTAATAGAGCAGATACATGAAAGAGTAGGAGCTTTTACACCAATAGAACGAAAACACAGATGAGTCCTATTCTTTGTCCTTTCCTTTTGCTTTGAGAAGATTACTGAGCCAAGTGACACCAAGTTCAAGGAAGATTAAAGGATGTACATAAGGACGGGAGTGCATGAAAGGATGAAGAAAGCATATATGGCAGGTAAAAGAAAAAAAAAAAAGAGTAAAGAGTGAAAGAAAACAGATGTAAGAATTCTAAGTGTGTTAGGAAGGTGAGAAAGATGAGGCAAAGATGCAAAGGAAGGACAAGAAAGACAAAGCAGTGAAGGAACAACAGAGGGATAGAAATACAGAGAACAGGATAGAGTGTTTCTTCACCTATGAGGACGGAGGCGATACTGGCAGGACTGAGGCCTAGTGGGGGGCGCTGCATCTCTTCTCTGGCCATCTGAGATTCTCCACACAGGATCTGGAGGTGGGATGTGAAGGTGTGGCTAAGGGCAGCGCTTAGCTGGGCCCAGTGTGTTGAACGATCAACCGACACTCTGCCCAGCACCCAGTGGGTACCGGGGAGCCCCTTCGCCACATCCTCTTCTAAGGCCTCAATGGGGCACATGGACCCTGTCCCTCCTCCTGAACACTGGAGATAAACCTGGACCCGATAGAATTCTGTGAAGACAAAGGAGAAGAAAAGCATGTGCACAGAGTGGGAAGAACATCAGCGATGTGTGCAATTACATAAGGAGTTAAAACTACATTTACGACACGTATTTTTGCAATAATAACACAAGCTGAAAAGAAGACCTCCGTGTGATACTTTTAATTTAATGTTGCACACAAAATGAGCAATGCAGTGGCTTACCCAAAAAGCCAACAACCAACACAGCAGTAAACAGATAAAGTACTCCACCTCCTTCCCCACACATCACACCATGGTGACTGGGTGCAGTTTTCACAGTTTCAGTTGCACAGTGGGGGAATAACCTGGAGACTACAGCTAACTTTCAGTTTTACCTTCAGATGAAAGTTTTCTGCATCAGCTGGCTAAATTTAATTTTGTTTGAATGTAAGCAGGCAGCTTAGATTCAACCAGCTTGTGTATCTTGCCTCAACTGCACCAATAAAAATGATGCCCCAAACTGCAAAACCTAGTTCCTGGATAAGTATGTGGTTCAGAGGTGCACAAGGAGATGATCCTCCAGATCAGCCAAATTAAAATCAGGATTCGTTTTTGTGTGTAGATAGACACACAGCAAACACAGGCAGCTACTCACGGAGGTTTTCAAGCAGATCTTTGCAGTCATCAGTTGCCACGTCATGAATAGTGCGATTACACTTATCCCTCCTCTCAATGTCCTGTTCGCTGTGACTGCACAGCACCTCCAGACACTCCTATACACACAAAACAATAAGAATAAACAAAAAAATTTATTTTCTCAACATGACGGAGACTTTCCACCCCGACTGAAAGTCTAAGAATTTGTTTTACGGGGATGCGATCACATTATTTTTTTGTCTTTATCTCTATACTAGTCAGATATTCTAGCAGAAATGCAAACTCGTCTATCTATTATTCAGTTTTGGGCTGCCTGTATTCCTCAATTTCTTGTCCTTAGCTGACGGGAGTGGTACCCAGTGTTGTCATCTGCTGCTGTAGCTTGTCTGCTTCAAGGTTTGACATGTTCTGCATTCAGAAACGCTTTTCTGCATACTTTGGTTGTAGTGAGCAATTATTTGAGCTACTTTTTGATCTGATCTCTGGCATTAACACTTTCACGCACAGAACTCACTAGATATTTTCTCTCTCTATAAATCCTAGACATGGCTATGTGGGAAAATTCCAGCAGGTCAGCAGTTTCTGAATAATCAGATCCTCACATTTGACACCAAAGTGACTTTTCATCCTCATTCTGATGCTCAGTTTGAACTTCAGCAGGTCCTCTTTATCATCAGCAGGTTCATATGAGGAATTATAGAGTGAATATGAATGCAAAAAGCCAAAAAAAAGTAGGAGGAGGTTGAAAAGCTCTGTAAACATGCGAGGAGTTGACAGGAATCTTCCACATGCAGACTTGTTATAATCATATACATATTTTTACAATTGTTACCTTAAGGCCCAGGGCAGCAGCCATGTGTGCAGCCGTCCAGCCATCACTGTTGGCCTGGTTCAGCAGGGCAGCAGGCAGTGCCAAGGTGGCAGGAGTCACAGTGGGGTCACTTTGGGGTGGGTGGTATAGGAGGAGACGCAGCATGTCGGCGTGTCCCGAGCGCACAGCAGCATGTAAGGCTGTGCAGTTGTCCTGCAGAGAGATAAAGGTGAGTTGTGTTGTGTTGGAGTTCAACTGACAGAATCTATTAGCGATACCTAACACCTTTCAAGTGAAGTGAAGGTGTTACACACTCATATCAACTCTGCTGCTTAGAATAATAGATGGTGGTGATTTTGTTTAATTAAGTTTTAGTGGTTTCAGTTTATACGAAGCATTAACAAGAAAAAAAAAACCCACAAACACCCAAAAGACCTAAAGACAATTCAATTCAGACTTTTTTGGCATTTTCTAATTACAGGATTTAAAAAAACAATGAAACAAAAGATTTTGAAGAAAGAAGACTACACATTCAAGCTGTACTCTTAACCCAGTTCAGGCCTCAATGTAAATCATCACATTTGACTGAACACACTGGCCAACATTTTCTTGTGGCTAAAAATACCTCCACACTCAAAAGCTTAGATATGCTATAGAGACTCTGGCAGCTCTCTGGCTCAGCAGGGAAGTCAGACTAAATGAAGACCAAAGCAGGTAACTAAATATAGGGGCTTTGTCACACACTGTCACAGTAACTAGCAGGCTCCTATGGTTACCATGGAAATCCAGAAAGCCCATACATCAAAGGGCTCTCAGCAGAGAACAGCCCCCCAGAGAAAGCTGCGATCCTTTATGTGAAATGGACAAAGTGTTTAACAGTGAACATCATTTGTAACAAGTGACTAAATGGAAAAATGTGGAAAGGGCGACAGCGGTGTGTGTTTTAATGAAAGGATTACATTCTGTGCAGTATTATCCAGAATATACGCTCAGGGCAAAATTATTAAACGAGGATTAAAACTGTAGCAAAGTGTGGCTTTTGTGAAATCACACACTTATGAACTTTTAACAAATTTTATATGCGAACGGTACATCTTCTCACTTATTATGCAAATTATGACTTTCAAATCTGAAAATTGTCCAAACATCAGTTACATCGGCAAGCAATTTAAAACATTAGCGTTAAAGCATCTTATATCACTTTGAAACATCTGTAAGGAACTGATGATGTAAAAAACAAAACAAAAAAAACAAAAAGATATTACCATGAGCCAACAACCAAAAAAAAAAGCCTAAATTACACTTTTCAATGAAATGAATGCTCGTTTATTTTGATCTACATGAGCTGAACTGTTGTGAACTTGTACTGCAGTGAAACACATGCTACTAACTTACAAGTAATTTTAATCTGTAAACAAAAAAAGATACAGTATCTAGTTGGTGGATATTATTATTATTTTTAAGACAGATGAGCATGGCTATCTATACAAGTCACAGGAAACCAGGTTTTCCTATTACGTAGAAGTCAAACAAATTCATTATTGAGTCTTAAGTTATACTTACCACAGTAGTCAGTGAGCGATCAGCTCCAGTGCTTAGCAGGACCTGGGCACAGTCCAGCCTTCCTGCCTCACAGGCCAGGAAGAGTGATGTCTGCCCCCCCACTGCCACTGTGTCTACAGCAGCTCCTGCAGTCAACAACACCTCCACACAGCTGAAAAGAGTTAGGCAATGTTAGTAACGCAAGAGGCGAATAAACTTGGAAAGTATTCATTATCATTCAGCTCATTCAGCTGACTAAACTAAAAGTGAAACATTACAAATGATATAAAGGACATATAACAACAATGGTGGTATCCCATGGGTATCTGAATCAATTTACGTGTCAAAATGATGGCCAAATAAAACCAAAGTGCTTCAAATGACAGCAATCAAAGATTAAATTACATTAATGTATACAAATTCTGGTAATTATTCGAGATATTTTGTTGCATTTATTCTTTACTAATCATTTACAGTTGTTACTCCTTATGGCACACCACCTGTTAACAGCCATGGGAAGACATCATACACATCAGTCTGCTACAAAACTGATGGGAGTCCAGATCATCTCAGGAACACTAAGCCTGTCAGCTAACACTGGGACTAAGTCATGATACCCAAGGGGGAAAAAAGACTTCACACTGTAAAACAAGCTGTGTGTGTGTGTGTGTGTGTGTGTGTGTGTGTGTGTGTGTGTGTGTGTGTGTGTGTGTAAGGATGCCTTTTGGATATCCTACTCTATAAATAACATGGTGATCAGATATTACAGCACTGCACATTCCCCAGCTGGCTCTGTGCATCCTCGCTCAGTCCACTGTGGCTGACACAGCCTGGCTCTAAGCACTGGGTTCATCTTGGCAAGACATCACAATCAATACGAGTGATCGCAACTGACAGTGAAGATAGTGTAGAAGCAGATGTTTCACTCATCTTTCACAGCTCATAATGAAGGATCTAGTAATGTTTGAAGAGGAGAAATGAGATAAAGTTGCAAACATGAACAGGTACTGCCAAGTCAAGCTGACTTTACTTCAGTTGGTTTCAGAAGAGGAGCAGAGCTAGTCTCAACTTGATTAATTAGAAAATTCCCTTCAGGCATTATTGAAGTTCTTACTCTTAGAAGTTAAACTATGCTCTACCAAACGACCAGTTTGAACTGGTGTCATTGCAGAACTGAGCAAACAAGCTGCCGTCGCTCTGGGCAGTGGAACCCAGCACAGTTAGCAGCATCTGCCTACCGGTTGTTTCACACATGGGAGGCTCCAGCTGTGCTTGTCTTCCAGCAAAGTATGCATAATGAGTCATCAATTGACAACACACAAACTGACTTCAGGGACCAGTGTGACAACAAAAAAAAGAGAGCTCAAGTCCCGAAAATAGCAGTAAACAAAAACAGGATAACTATTAACAAAGTCACACTTCACGGTTTCTGAGACTTGACACTTGTTTTAGTCAGGAAAGTGCCAACTGAGCTACATTATCTTTTTTTGTAATTTAATTTGTGAAAGCCAACTGAATCAGATAGAAAGGAAAATAATACTTAAATGTAATTAAATAAACACACACACATGGACACACACACAGACACACACTGCTGGTGTTGCTGCTTCTCACCAACCATGATCTGTCAACAGTCAGCGGTGGCTACGTTACATGGTCAAACCAATGAGTTCTTGGGGGTTCTAGTAAACCTTTTCATAATCCAACGAGAAAATAATGCAACCATCTAACCATGGAAACTAATTAAATGCTGGCTGTGTTCTTTGTGCGCACATCCACCACCTTTTTCTAAATGTATGTGAACATAAAAATCCACCCAAATCAAAGTGAGAAAATCTGATTAGAGTTGAGCTGATAAGACCTGTACCAGAGATGCATTAGCAGCTGAAAAAAAAACATTTCAGTGCATGTTTCATATTTTATTTAAATGCATGACCATTAATGAAAACGTGACCTAAACTGTTTCTTTTGTGCATCGCAGTGAGTAGTCTAGTTTCTGGACTGCTGGTGAAATACAACAAGCACTTCAGCTGGGAAACCTTTCACAATTGACCAAACTGATGCATATCTGGGTTTTTTTAGAAGTGACAAAATTGTGACCACTCTGGCTAAAAGGCTTTAAAACCATATGAGCTCACCTGCTATGGCCATGGGCAGCAGCAAAGTGTAAAGGTGTGAATCCATTCTCATCCGAAACATCAGCAGGCAATCCCGAAGACAGCAGCAGCTCCACACAATCTGACAGAGAGAGGAAGATGGATGAATCTTTTGTAGTCTGCTGCTACACAAACATGACTCAAGTTTTGTAACAGCATACAGAATTAACAAAAATACTGTAAAATATTTATGACATATAATACAAATACGATCCATCAGGGCAAGCAAGGCAAGCAGCACTTCTCTAAAAGTCTATAAATCATCAAATAAAATCAGAGTGAAATTAATCTATCGAGCTCAGTCTTAAACAGTATTCTGCCCCATATGCACTAGCCTTTAAATTACTATATTATCTTATAGCAACAGTTGCCTACTGTGTCTGGACCTCTGCTTGCCCCAGTTCTACCGCAATCTAAATTTGATGGTTATGTCCGTGTCCTGTTAACAGACTCAAGCTGGGCAGGCCAAGAGGCCACAAGCTTGTTTGTTTGCACATCTGCATTAGGGCTGTGCGATATGACCAAAATCTCATATCCCGATATAAGAATTCTATTGTCCGATAACGATATAAATCACAAAAATGTAACATTTTCTGTAAATTCTGTGAATCTCGGGCAGCTCGACTTGCGGCAAGTGTTTCCAGCTGTGCGTCATGTAGCTGGAGTCGAGTGTTTTAACAGATGCATGAAACAATACATTTTTAGACATAAGTTGTAAAGGCCGCCGTTTTCTTTGTGAGTATTTATTACACGGCGTGCTGCGGGGAAAAGCCTGTTCTAATGTTTGAGTCTAAGGTTTATTTTTTACCACCTGGCGGCTCTTTTTTAATTCTCATCCGATAATAATCTGCTCTTTCACGTGATTCAGTTTATTTTGAAAAGTCTCAACAGGATCTTGAGCTTTATTGTGAAAGGTTTATGTGGAACATAAACAAGCGGTCACGCGATGCTGTTACCGTCGTTGTTGCTAACCACAACGCATAAAAACAGGCGCTTGTCTGTCTGTAGTGTGGTTATATAAAATATAAGAGAAAGAGAGAAAGAAGAAATTAATATAGCCACCACAGTGACCATCACAATGATGAAAAAATATTGCCGTAAACAGTTTATTTTGCGACACCACGAAACAAACGATAGCGTAAAATGAAACGATAGACGTTTTTATATTGTCATCCGATATATATCGTTATATCTAACGGCCCTAATCTGCATTGTTGATAAACTTGTGACAGGAAAGTGATGGGAGACAAGTAGACTAGAGAAGGTGCTAGAGGCTCTGCTTTCACTGTTTGGAGATCAGTTACCATCTGTGTTTGTGAAAACAGTGCTGTCATTAGCAAGGACAGTCACACAACAAGCACAAAGAACTGTGCAAGTCTTGAACTATCCTTCAATTTCCACATTTCAGCATATTTTGGTTGGAAAACAGGAAATAGATGCAATGATGTATTGAAACATAAGCAAACACAAATGGAAATACAGTATATAAGGAAAAACCAGAGTTTGTACAATTCTAACCAGCTTGAAAGTCAATATTTGGCATGACTATCTTTATTCTTTAGCACAGCCTGAGCTCTCTTAGGTAGCTTTCCTATACATTCTTTAAGCAGCCTTCAGGAATAGGTCTTAGGGTTCTTCAAGAACATTCCAAAACTCTCCTTTTAATGTTGACGGCCTTTTGTTCCACCCTGTCTCGATGATCCCACGCTGCTTTAATAATAGTGAGTTCAGACTTCTGTGGAAGCCAATCCTTGCTTTTATGCACTGGCAGTGCGTTTGTGATCTTTTCTTACTGAAAAATGAAGCCAATCCGACACTTTCCAGATGGCATATCTTTGCAGATTAAAATCTAACAGTACTTTTCTGGGCTCATATTTCCACCAATTTAACAAGATTCTAGTGGAGCAACGGATCACGGATGATTCGTAATCCGAACCGATCCCACTCCACGGTTCGGCACGCACGTGATCCGAAGATTCGAAAAAGAAGGGAAAAAAAGTATGTGTATGGTGCGCGTGGTGGGTCTGTCAAGCGATAGTTATGGCCAGCACTAGCGGTCCAAGTGGAGGAGCAGAGAAGTTTGCGGTATTTAAGCAGCCCTTTGCTGCCCAATCCGACCAGCCTAAAGCTATTACAAAAGCTATTAGGGTGTTTAGCTGCAGACGGGAGGCCGTATTCCCTTGTGCAAAACAAGGGGTTTAAACTATGATGAACGTGCTTAGCCACGCTATGATATCCCGTTCGCGTCCACTTTAGTGGCAAGATCGTTCCAAGCATGTATGAGCAGGAAAATTTTTAAGTTATGGCTGAACTGTCCCAGGCATCTTCTGTTGCCCTAACTACTACAAATGGGTGGACCTCCAGGGCAACGGAAAGCTACGTGACCGTGACAGCTCATTATATCACAGCAGAGTGCGACATAATGAGCAGTATGTATTATTGTAGGGTCTACCTTACAATATAAAGCGCCTTGAGGCGACTGTTGTTGTGATTTGGCGCTTTATAAATAAAATTGAATTGAATTGAATGGTAGATACAAAGCCCTGTACTGCCCTATATTGTACCATAATTATTTTTTTTAATAACTGCGTGGAATGAGTCTTGAGTTGAATGCTTTTAACAGGCAAAAAATATTTCAATAAGTAAATAAGTAAATGTAAAATTTTTGTCTTTTTTCTTTTTTTGCTGATCCAAAAATTGATCCGATCCGTGACTTAAAACTGATCTGATCCGAACGGTGAGATTCTTGATCCGTTGCACCACTACAAGATTCCCAACACCACTGCCTGAAATGCAGCCCCACACCATGACAGAGCCTCCACCATGTTAGTTTCACGGCTGTAGATTGGCTGTTGTATCTCTGTCTTGACCACCTCTGTAAGTATTGACAATTTGAAACAAGCTTTGATTCAAGCCTCTACAAGACATGTTGCCATTGATTTTTTTAGTCCAGCTCTATTGTAATTTGACACACACAGAGAAAGGACTACAATGTCAGAAAACCTACTATAACATCTCAGAGTGAGAACCACAGTGTACACTGAACTCAGAGCATAGAAGCCACTTTATCTTGTTGCCATGGATACTGTAGGTAGTGTAATATGGATGGTATCGCTGGACAAAAAGAAGCAAAACAATTATGAGAGAGGACTTCTATGAATCACTGAATCCCTTCGCAGTTATTGAATTGGAATTTTAAAAAAGAAACTTGTGTATTTATTACAAAGACACAGTTTTGTGTTACAAAGACACTTCACTCCAAAAATCTTTTTCATTTTGTAGAGCATTTGTCCATATAGATTTTGTTTTAAATGGGGGGGCGGTGCTCAGGTTTGGGGTAACTGATGTACAAATATCTACCTAAAATCAACCAATTGGCACTGTTTTATGCCCAAATGTATGTGTGTTTATAAAAATATATCAGAAATCATTCTATAAACCTTGGGAGGCCAGTTTCAAGTACACACACACACACACACACACACACACACACACACACACACACACACACACACACACACACACACACACACACACAGTGTCCCTGTGCAGAAGGAATGAGAGGTTCATCTTAGCATGACATCATGTAAACATTGATAGTGTTTGATTAATGCTAGCAAAATGCACGTGTGTGTTGGTTGGTGCATCCAGGTCATGATTCTGGGAAAGGCATGTAAACAATGGTGCTGAGTTTTTCCATTTCATGTTTGGAGCTTTGTGCAATCCATGACAAGTGCCCTCTAGTTCCACTATTTTCATGTGAAAGCAGTCATTTCTAAAACCCTTTCATCTTTTGAAATAAGACGAATAAGTGAGTGTGAATGTGAGAGTGAATGAATAGTGGTATTGTAAAGTGCTTTGGGTGCCTTGAAAAGCGCTATATAAATCCAGTCCATTATTATTATTATAATAGCGATTATCAGCTACTACGGACCAGAAATTTAATCTCTAGAAATATGCTACAAGAAAAGGTGTTGTTATCTTAAAGTCACGGGTTTAACGAGTGACTCTATCTTATGCATTTGTTTGGCTTGGGTAGGGCTGTGCAATATGATCAAACTCTCATATCCCGGCTTGGGTGTATTTACTCTGTCCGAGTTCTCTGTTCAGTCTGATGATAGTCTGCGTATACCTGTGAAGATGAGGACTGGGCCCTATGTGAACAGCTGCTTCCTCTGCCCACTCTCTTTGTTTCCCTCTCTGTCGCACAAGACCGTTTTCTGTTTTCACTTTGTTTTTGGTGAATAAACTGTTCACCTTTGCATCTAACCTTGTGCTCTGTCCTGGGTTGTTGGAGGCTTTTTGAGCCAGCCATATTTAAAACATATTTGAAACAGGGAACTCAAACCAACTCTCCCTTTTAACATTTATCATAGAGAGTTTCTATCACTAGATCCTCCGAAATGTCCAATATTCTGAAATATTGCAAATATTGGACAAAGAAAGGACAATAAACTAAAAACAATATCAATTTGTTTTCACACGAGTGTTAGCTATAGGGGTGGTTTAAAAAAAGTTGTACTGTTATTGTTCTGTCAATCTTAAAAGAAATAGAAAGAAAATCCCATTAAAATGTTGTATGTTTAAAAAAAAAAGCAATAAAGGAAACCACTAATGAGATCCTACAGTTTTGAAAGCTTGTACTCTCTGTTTGCCAAAACAAAATGTTAAAGTACCTGCAGGTATGTTGTGGTATATGTTCCCTTATCAAAGTCTCAACTACGTATATATAGTCCAAATACACAAATGTGCCTTTAGCTTTGGAAATGTCCAATTTGTAGAAGAGTGAAGGAGGATAAGTAAAGGACATTATTCAAATAATTAGATCAAATCAGAAGGAGAGCTCTTATGTGCATTTGGGTATTTCTGAGAGTGTCCTCTCTGTGGTGGCACACCTAATATAAGCCTTCAGTGCAGCTGTCCTTCAACTGCATTTGTCATGTTCATGGATCAATGATCCTCAGCTGACAACTGGGTATTATTAAACATCTCAGCAGGGAAGCAGATCATAAAAGGCCTGCATGTCTGTGTGTCATTATTCTGCATGCATTAATTATTCTGTTTTTGTATGCAGGGTACTGTGTTTGTGTCAGGTGGATGAGCATATACTCTGTGCTGAGGTTACAGCCTTGACATGAAAGGCTCACAATCTCACTTAATAGCAGCCAACATAATGCGATGAGTCACAGCTCACCCGCACATGTCTAAGTGTTTATCAGCATCAGGCCTTTGTCCTAACTACATCTTCATACAGCTGCTGCAAAGAGCACGTCCTGCCACTGCTATGCTACACCTTATGACCTAACTCAGCAGTTCCCCTTAGAATGTTTCAGTTCATGGTTTTGGCTTCCCAGCTCTTGCTTTTCTGTTTTAGTATACTTTCCTTTGGGTTACAGCTGTCAGCTCTTTTCAGTACGAAGACCCTAATACTGTCACTCTATACCTGCTTCTCACCAACAAACAGCAGAGAATGTCCGAAATTAGCTGGTGAAATTGGGGAACAATTAGCAAGCTAGGCAGCTCCCTTTGAAAGTGGAGGAGACCAAACCTGAGCTAAAATCACTCCAAATACATGCAGTTTTACTAAATACACAGTGGATGTAAAACAAAGGAAACATTTGCAAATAAGCTCATCTTTTTGCTAGGTTTTGGGCCTAGAGATTCTTATTGAGATAAAACTACAAATACACTGGTGCCAAACACGGACACTTTTATTAAAAAATGCAGGCACTCTAAATGGTATACCTTAAGATTTGACTGATTTTTCTGATTTACTGTTTTTTACTGATTTCTGTGAGAATGTGAATGTCAATGCGAACCTGTCCAACTCAGTTTATGGAAGTGACAGCCAAGTGAAACTGAATAATTAAACTGATATGTTACTTGGGCTTTTTACCAGTTTAATCACTTACACTGTCAGCAGAGTATTAGCTGCAGTAAACACAAGAAGGCTTTGTGGTTAAACTGTTTTACAGTTTTTAAGTAATGTCACAACTAGATACTTTTACAAGAAACAGGAAAAGGGCAGCAACTCAGTCACTAAATCAGTTAAGCCTAATTTGTGGAGGCAAATGAACAAAGCCTTTGTGTTGTTCCATATGGTCACATCTGAGTGAGGAACCCTCTTCAGCGTCTTATTCAAATGCAACTCCTAGATGGCTGCTTACAGGAAAGGAAAAGCATTATTGTAGTCGCATATCTCGCAGTTAATTCAACCTCTAGGGCCTTTATCGAGTTTGCTTGTTCATTTTATTCCATCCCACGGCACCCATGAAGGCACAGGTCCACTAACAGAACTGTGTGCTTGTTAAAATACACAGTGAATAGAAATGCTGATAAGCTAGAAGTTATTTGAAATGGGACAAGAAAAACGTCTGAGTAACCGAAGCTTAAACTAATATTAAAGGCTTCAAAATAGACAAAAGCAAACAAGAACAAACCTCAGTTGGTAAACCGTCTCTCAGAATGCAAATCACACTTTCAAAGCCATTACCTTTTTATTTTACTTTAATGAGCAGAAAAAAGAAAATACTAGGAGCAGAAGGAAAAATGCACTGTTTAACTATGGTGCACGCTATTTACATATACAATGTCATTAACTAGACAACTCACTGAAAACCTTATGCATCATTGTGATCAGCAGTTCAGCACAATCAATCCAGTGTTAATTCTTTGTTTGTATTTTAGCCTATCACCTTTTATTCACAGTCAATACAAATCATCACGAGCTCCTTAACTCTTTAACGATCAATAAATAAGTCAGCCCGTCAGCCAACCACTCACCAAACCTCACATTAGATCTCCATTGACAGTGGGCGAACACACTATATTAAATTTGCCAAAAAGATAAAAAAAAAAATAAATCTGAGTCTAAAAGCCACACTATCCATCTACATCTCCCAAGCTGCAAAAAAGTATCAAATTCAAACAGAGCTAAATCAGATTCAGACACCAGGGCCCTATTTCAGGAAGCCGGTTTAGTGCAAACTCTGAGTAAGTATACCCTGAGTTAACGAAAACTCTGGGTTTTCGGTTTCACAAAGCGAGTTTAGATTAATTCTGAGTGAGTTACTATGACGACACACTCCGTGAATCTAACCTGCCCCCTAGCAGGTTTACTTCAACTAACCCTGACCTTCTCCGCCTCTTTGTCGGAAACCTGACTGTAGGAAGTGTCAGACATGGCGTGCTCCTTCCTTGAAGAGCCAGTAGATGTTGAAGCCCAAATTCTCCGCAGAGCTCTCCGCGTTCGGACATTTTATCATTTCCTGATGATTTCCTGTGTGAACGTTACCGTTTTTCAGCACAATCTATAATTGATTTGAATAACAT